TGTGTCCACTCATTCTCTGTCAAATAAATAAATAAAATCTTAAAAAAAAAAAATAGAGCCAAGCGTGTTCACTCCTCCCCCGGAGGACTGCATCTCTCCGGAAGGAGGGACTTACTCTTTAGAATTGACCATTTCAGTGTCCGTTCTGTTAGAGTGACTCCAGTGTGTGGGGGGGTGAGAAAAAGAATAAAGGACCCATGTGGTCACGGATTTGGCTTTGTCACGGATTGGTTCTGTGACTTTAGGACACACACAGAAAGCCTTCGTCTCTTCCCCCCTGAACGCGAGCTGCTATCTCTCCGACTTGCACACTGATTTTATGACGTCCAAGCTGTTGTCTGGAATGCTATTCATTCTTGTGATTCTTGCGAAGAATGGAAGTGGTGTACGTGATATTTCTTACAAGTTTATATTTAGAAGCATTTTTTTTTAAATGAACATGTTGGCAGACTCTTAAGTACTTGGGGCACCATTAGATCCCCTGGTTGTCTTATCCAGGCTGAAGAACACTCAGAGCCCCTCTGATCGAGCACTGAACAAGGTACAACAGCATCAAGGCCAGGACCCAGCCTTCCTGCCTCCTGATACGGAGAGGCAGCAGGACGCGCTGCTTTTCCTGGCTGTCAGAGGATTCATCTAACACATGACTATCTCTTGGAGGGGTTGGGGAGGAAAAAGCACCTGGCAGGCTTTGCACGCCATCGATAAGCCGTAAACGTTCAACTGAATAATTCAGAGCTGGATATTTGCTAATCTGGAGACAATGCCCAGCAAGGTTTTGTGCTGGGTTTTTTTTTTTTTCCTCCAGACACCTCTGAGATATCTGTCTCGCAAGTTAGAATCATGTAATGATTATGAAAACCATACTGAATCTCAACTAGACATTCATCAAAACCACTGCTGATTTTTCCCCCTTCCCATTTTTGATAAGGCAAACTGTGGGCAGTGTTGGACACTCTTGAGAAAGGCAGGTATGTGTGTAGCTCCCTTTTTGCATTTACTCACTAGGTGCTGAGGTCTGATATGTTCTACCTTCCCAATGGCCTTCGGGGTGTGGTGCACACTGCATTACAGGAAGCATCTGGAAGCAATTTGCCCCTCCCTCCAACCCACTGAAGTCTGAAATAAAAGATCTCTGGAAATCTTACTTAGGATGAGTGTCTGACACCCAAAGGAGCAGAGGTCCCACTGGGAGCTCGTTGGCTTTGCTGGTTCCAGCTTGTCTGAACAAGAAGTTACGAGCTATCACAGCTGGTCACAGTTCTCCCACCTTTAAAAACAGTCAACCCTAAAAATATGCTTCACGAGCAAGTGAGAGGGTAGGAAACAAGTCCTCAGATCAGTAAAAATGGGTTCAGAACAATGCTGGCCCTGTGCTTCTCTAGCCCTCCTTTACTAGTTGTGACGGGCCTTCACCACTGTGACAGCGAAACGGCCATTACCACCCTCCCTGTGTGTCTTAGCTTTCGAACTCAGCCCCTGATTGAGACCTAGCCCTCTGAAAAACCTACATTCTATATGTGGAAACACAATGCCTGAAAAGAATTCTCCCCAGGAACATGGCTGCCTCAGTCGGTGAAACTTGCGACTCTTGATCTTGGGGTTGTGAGTTCGAGCCCCATGTTGGTTCTAGAGATTACTTAAAATAAAAAAAATAAAAGAAAATCATAAAAAAAATTCTCATAAGCCTCTGACTCCCAGAATAGCATCAGTTTTAAAATAGAACAGTTTCAGTTTTGTGTTTTCTACCTTTATTACATTTTTGCGTTTGAGATACAAACTAACCACTCTCTTACACCACACAAAAGACATCCATTCTGGTGATTTTAAAGTGCATTTCCCCTTTACCTTTGTGTACAAAAATATTTTTTTCAAAACATGTGGACATTTCTTGACAAGGCACTTTCAGGCATCGGGTGAAGACGAGCCTTCGGTTCTCCATTCACGCTGAAGTAAAAGTGAAACATCGTCCTCACAGGTCCGGAAGGCTCTAGGAACTGATCACCGAAACTGCCGAAACATTCACAGCTTTCCAACCCTACCGAGGAGAAGCCACCCGAAACCACAGACTCCCTGCCCAGTCCCATGTGTCCACTTCGGGAAGTGCGGAGAAGCTGCCAGAGTGTCGTCGAGGCCCCGGGAAAGATCCCATTACGCTTATGACTCTTCATCCCCGTTTCGGTGATCGGGACCCCCCCAAGAGCAGAGAGCCACGGGGCCTGCTCTGGCAAACCACACCCAGCGGAGGAATTTCTGACGAGGAAACAAATGAAAGACAATCAAGGTTTCCGTCCACTGTCCACTGAGAGGGAAGACCTGGAAAACGAGCACTTCTAAAAAATGAACCGACACTTTTTTTGGTTTATAAACATACCCATAACCCACTGAACATCCACGTGACTACAAGTAATGCTTGTTTTTAAAAAAGCAAATTATATGCAAAGATCAAAACCACAAAACATTCTTTTAGCCGTTCGAAATTTACATCTTTAAAAAACACTGAAAGAGTCATGTTTTGCCACCATTAAAATGAAACCTTAGAGAAAAAAAAATAAATTCTATCTTGACTCTGAACCTGTTTTAATTTCTGGAGAACTACAGAACTCCCATTATTTTTCACCACTTCCCCTATCATCAGAATACTTAAAAAAATAAAAAGAAACCCATTCGAATGCTTCTTATCTTCCAAGAAACCCTGAAAGCTTATTTATTATGTATTTTTCAAACAGTCCAGCTTATTTATTGCACCTGATTTGCGAATGCTCCCCAGGGCGTTTGGGGGAAATAAATACAAAAGAAATGGAGCTGCTTCCCCATTTCTAGACAAGGGCACCCGCAGTGGGAGGCCTGCCCTTTGGGGGGCCACTTGGAAAGGGCACTGGGGCTGTTGGACATTCGTCACCATCACTGAATCCGGCTATGTGAGGGGCACTCCCCACCCAAGTCAGGCTGCAGTGACGTCCGTCTGCAACTAAGAAACCGGTCACTGTCTGAAGGGTGTAGACCTATTTACGGATGGCGAGCTCTGAAATGAGGAGGGGTTCTGCAGATCCTGGGACCATCTGTTGATACCCTGGGGCAGAACTGGACCCACGGAAGAGAGACTGGTGAATAAAAAATAATATTCTTTAGACGCCCCTGCCTCCCTGAACCACGAGGCTGACAGGGAAGTCTCGAAACCACATTGTCTAGTCAGAGAAGGGTCTTTGGGGACGGGTGAGGACTTGCCTGGTAGGGCAGGCATCCCAGGTGCACTGGCAGGGGTTTGCAACCAGTGCCCCCAGCAAAAAAGCTGGGGTGAGCTGGGGGGTAAAGAATGGCAGAGGAGAGGGCTTAGGGCTGTTTTAAGAGCTACTTATTGCTGAATTACCGTATTTCAAATTTTGACCTCGGAATGTCTTAAGATCACCATTACTGAAAACCGAATAGGAACAGGAGTCTCTTGAGCATTTTTCTTTTGAATACAGAATGATCTTGTTACTTTTAGACTGGTAACACGTAAATGATGGTGCACCTTGTAACTTTCTTGACTCGGAGGAGGAGGGACTGGGCTTCTGAAAACAAAATAAATTCACGACCTATATAAAATGGCTTGCTTCCATTTGGTTTTAATTTGCCCTATCGATCGTTCTGATCCCCAGATTTGCTAACACTGAAAGTACCGTTCGTGTACTTGATGTCGGCATGTCTAGATAAAACACAATTCTGCCCAATTTCAGCACGAGGTAAAAAGGCAATTTTCCCCATTAATCATGTGATCCCCGAGTCCCACCCATGTGGGAGAGGCATAAAAAATAAAACACTAGATCGCAGATGAGTAACAGCCAGTTTTAGGAACAAGAATTACATCAGACATCACTTAAAAACATTTAAGAAGTCAAAACATTTCGAAGTTTAAAAAAGAAGGGGAAAAAGAAAAAGAAAAAACCAACCACAAAACTCTAGGAGCCAAGACACTCCATCCCTGCCTGATACTAATTGACCAAATTGCAGAAGCCAGGAGGCCTTTTCTAATCCATCTGGAATATGCAAGCAAAAGACGACTCTCTGCCTGCAGAGTCCGGTGGCTGCGTCTCCAAATCCAGGCCGCTGTGCCTCCCTCTTCCTGCCTCCTTTAGGAAAATCCCACTTTACTAAGATCAGGCAAATGGAAAATGAGACATTTAAGTAAGCTCCAAAGACAAAACAGAAAAGAAAAAAAAAAAAACCAAAAACAAAAAACACCCAACCTTCTCCAAATACACATGTAAAAATATTTTTTTAAAACACACCCAAGTACAAACCAATCTCACCCCAGAAAAATCATAGGGTTTGGGGATCCATCTGTCAGTGAATGTCCCAGGAGTCTCACGACAGTATGAACCAACGGACTTTTAATTCATGGTCCAATATGGGTAAGAATAATTAATCTCTGATATTTCAGAGTTGCCACACATTGAAAATAAAATATGAGAACTTGGTGAGGGTTTTCTCCTCTATCCCTTTTATATAGACTCACACACCATAAATAAGAACACCCAAATCAAAGTCCCTGGGTGCTTGCAAAGAGTCCTGGGTCGTGCAGATCACAGTCAAAACCAAACCAAACAACGTGTCCTGAACACAGCATGGAGGAGGGCTCTCGAGGAAAGGACAGTCTAAAATCCCTCCGTGAAGAAAGAGGTGACTGCAAACCAGCCGGGCAAGTTCCAACAAATCTTGTAACTGGGCTGTCTGGTGAGGCAGGGCAGGAGTGAGTACTTCGAAAGCTACTTCGAAAGCTCCCCCGAAAGCCAAGAGGAAGAGCTACAGGTGTGCCCCTCTGTCCTGCCTATCAGAAGCCTGCAGTCTGGAGCCCAGCATGGGGGCCAGTTTCTTTCAACAACTGGTATGTCGTTCTCTGCCGGAGCACACATACGTGGGGTCAGAAAGAGGAAGCACCTGTTTCCGTCACAGGCTAATTTACCTTGATTATCTTTTCCTGAACATCAGACGAACTGTGAAGATAACAAAATGCAAAAAAAAAAAAAAAAAAGCACAGAGCTGCAGAGTGAAGCACGTGTAGACAAGGAACGCCAGCGACAGGCAGGAGGGGCCCGGCTGTGGTGTGGGGGGCGCCTAGAGACCAACGGCAAGGGTCCCGGGGCAGTGGGCTGGGATGGAGTGATTTCCAGGTGACCGTCCACATCCCAGGGAGCAGGGGCGGTTCCTCCAGGCAGCTGGGGCGCACCCCTGGTGGCCTCGCTCTGAAGCCACCATCCCCTAGTGTCGCCGGCAATACCCATGGGCCTGGTTCCTGCCCAGGCCCAGGCCGGCCCTGCCACCCTGCTCCGACTCTCGTGGCCACCCTGGAAGCCGAGCCGACCAGCACCCCACTGGTACTCCAAGTATGAAACCAGTCCTGGCACCTAAATCTGGCTGGCTGAGGTGGCGTAAGAAGAAAAGTGAACAGGATCCTTTCTTTTCAGAGACTGTGCCTAATGGCAGTTCCGCGTTTCTCCTGGCTTCTGTCTCCACCCGCCCATGACCGCAGCGAGGCTCCTCTGCACCTGCTCCGCCATGCTCCAGCACACGCAGTGGCTAATAGTAGGGCCCTAGCTTTTCGTATCCTAAATAACTTGGCCACTCCGGAAACAGACCGTAGGAACACCGAGGGCTCCCAAAGTGGTCAAAGGATATTCCAAAATCGGGTCCGTTTTGTGGCTCGGTGGCACCCTGCGTGGATTTCAGCTCGGCTCGGATGATCCTATAGTTTTTGCCTTTGTTGCTGTCCCAGTACATCTGTCCACTGCACTCAAAGCACACGGCAAACTCCATCCTCTCATAAGACTGAATTTTCTCAGGCAAGCTGATGTCAAAGGAGAAGGTGTCCCTGTCCGAGCCGGCGTAAGTGTCCTTCACATACTGACAGGGAAAGTCTGTGAAGCTTTTCCAGGTGTCGAATGTCATTCTTACTTTCACCGTCTTCTCAAACGCCAGGTTCTGCACCTTCACTGTGCCTGCGATGGCTTTGTCCTTCAGGACACAGTTTTCAAGGCATACGTGGTCGGTCTGAAGCCGGTTTCTGAAGTCTAAGTAATCAGCGGAAGGCTGGGTGAAATCCAGAACAAAGCTCTCGCTCTCTGCTGTCGTCAAGCTCACAATGTTGTCTAGGAGCTCGGTGATGTTAAAGGGAATATCTAACGGGTCATCGAATTCTGAGAACACTTTGACCATTGTCAGGGCCAGCCCTTGGTTGTCTGCGAAGGACACCCGCTTTTTCACCTTCTTCTCCTGGACCGTGGGGGCCACCATCCCGCTGGCTTCATTCCTGCTGCTTAGCTGAATGCATGGCCTCAGCGGCTCGCTGCGCTTCGGTGAGGTCTTGAAGGTGAACCTCTCTCGGCGCAGGGAAGGGGCCATGCAGCTGTATCTGTACTCTATGTCCACAGCCATCATGGGGTTAGATGAATAGGCTAGAACCCTGGCCAGAGGGGAAGAGAAAGAAATGGCAACGAGATCAGACAGACGTTCAAGGCATCACTGCGACGGGCTGGCAAACCACGTCTGCCTTCGTCTCTGCCCACACAGCTGCAGTCGGGCATTAACTCAAGTGTGGGCCAGCATGACCTTGGTTTCAGGGGAGATTAAGAGTGTCAAGTGCGGGGGGGGGGGAGGATGAAGGTTAAAACACACAAAATAGTAGGGAGCCGCTGGTTTTAAAACTAAATTCACAGGTATTTCTATTAGGATTTCTTGAGGCCCTAAGGAGGCTAGAGTGCCTTGGGGAATAACAAAAAGATGTGCTTTTTTCCCCTTTTTTAAAGATTTTATTTATTTGAGATAGAGAGTGAAGCGTACAAGCAGGGAGGGGGCAGAGAAGCAGACTCCCCACTGGGCAGGGAGCCCAATGTGGGACTCAATCCCAGGACCCTAAGATCCTGACCTGAGCCAAAGGCAGACGCTTAACCGACGGAGACACCCAGGGGCTCCAAAAGAAATGCACTCATCTCACAAATACTGATTGGTATTTATTATATGCCAAGTCTTATGCTAGATAGTGGAATTCAATTGTGAAGACAGACATAATGTACACTAAATTTTTATATGCCAATATATCTTTCTTTTTAAAAATGCCAATAATTTAGTTTTTTTTACACCTTTCATATAGGTGGATATTTCTTTTTTCTATAGTGAAGATAACCTCTATAAGAATAAAAGGCAAAGAGAATCCTGCTAAAGATCAGGTTAAATCTGACTTCATAAAAACAAGATTTTTCTGTAAGTGAAAAAAAAAAAAAGTAAAACCAAAAGATTAAAGACAAACTGGGAAAACATTTTACAAAAAGTATGGCAGGAAAGAGTTAATACCTTTGTATACAAAGAGTCCTTACAAAACAATAACAAAGTCAAATAGCCACATAGAAAAATAAGCAAAGAGCATGAATGGAAAATCATGAAAAAATCTTAAAAATGTCCTAGAAATACACAAAATGTCCAATTTTATAATTAGAGAATTTAGATTAGGAAACAATGCCTGTTTTTACCTACTGAGTTAGTAAAGATTTTTAAAAATAATATGAAGGGGCACCTGGGTGGCTCAGTCAGTTAAGTGACTGCCTTTGGCTCAGGTCATGATCTCAGGGTCCTGGGATTAAGCCCCAGCTGGGCTCCCTGCTTGGCAGGAAGCCTGCTTCTCCGTGTCCCTCTGACCCTCCTCCCTCATTGTGCTCTCTCTCTCTCTCTCTCTCTCTTAAATAAATAAATAAAATCATAAAAAAAAACTTAAAAAAATAGTATGAATACATGGATTAGTCTAAATCAGCACCTTTCTAAATATTCGTATCATTTTTGGTTCTAGTATCACATACAGGTATTAATCTTAAGGAGTTAATGCCTGGGGGTTAATGTACTAAAATGTCCAATGCAACATTATAGGGAGGAAAAGGTGAGAAAACCTAAAGAACCAGTAACAAGTATCTGGTTAAATTAAGTATACAACATCCAGCGATAAAATTTTGTATCATTACTAAAACCATTATTTGGAAAAAAGGTTTAAGTGGCATGGAAAAAAGTTATAATATATTCTTAATGTAAAAAATAGAGAAGATAAAATTGTACATAGAGACTAGACTTGTAGGGAAAAGTATTAGGTATATGTACAGAAAAAAGACTAGAGATATACTTAGAACTGTTACAAAATCCAGGTGGGGGGGCGCCTGGGTGGCTCAGTGGGTTAAGCCTCTGCCTTGGGCTCAGGTCATGATGTTAGGGATCAGGCTTATCCTGGGATCAGCCGGGCATCTAGCTCTCTGCACAGCAGGGAGCTTGCTTCCCCCTTCTCTCTCTCTGCCTGCCTCTCTGCCTACTTGTGATCTCTGTCTGTCAAATAAAAGTCTTCAAAAAAAGAAAATCCAGGTAAAGGCATTTCAGGAAATTTGTTTTCCTGTGTTCTGTTTCTTGTATTTTTAAAAATAACATCACTTCTGTAATCAGGGAGGAAAAAAAAGTATCTAATAAAATGCCTGAAATATTTAAGACTTGCCAAAAACCTCTCCCATCCAACACTATTGCCTCACTAAAGCCAAGCCATTTTTCTCATCTAATTACAAATTAAATAGCAAATTTAATATTCTGATTTGATAGTTACAATGGGCTACCTGAAGAAGTCAGGGACGAAACCAGGATTAAACTCTAGTCTGCGAAACACAGAACACAGGATCTAGATTAGGTCCCAAACCTCTCCCCCCTCACTATGGCAAAGGGTAGGTATGTGGTGGTTTTTTGGGGGTGCCTGCTCGCAGGCCCCCTAGTTCCTGCCCATTGGTGGGGGGCTTCAGGGTAATGGTAGTAGTGAAGGAGAAGCAAAAGGCAAAATGCTGCTCGTCTTCTGCCAGAGGCTAAGTCCATTGGTTCAGTCCAATAAACATCTCATTTTCAACTTCTGATTTTGATTAACCAAATACATAAAGAACAATAAGAACAAAGACACATTGGACTTGATCCCATTTTCCAAAAGAAATATAATCGTTCCCTAGGATGCAGGGAACCACTTGGTGATGACTGACTGGAAAAACACACATTCAGAGACACAAAACAATAATTTATAGCCACAGTGTACTTAAGGACATTTGTCTTACTGTTTCCCCTCTAACAAAATCAATGAGTGAAAATTTTAGGAGCAAATTTGCTTTCTATTATCTGTTCTTGTAGCCAGGTAATTGTTCTTCAAAGGAAAAGTTCTCACTGAAATGGGCAACGATGCTTTACACAGGGTCAGTGGGTTGGCTAATGGGTTCAATGTGAAAAACAAACAAAAACCAAACCACTCTGTAGTTACAAAGTTTACAAAGTTACTTGAGTTTTACATTCCCCCACTGCAAAACTTTGTTAGAATACACTGGAATTATACTTTCAGTCTAATGTTAACACAGGTAGTTTTAATTTTTTTTACATTAAACGTGGATTAAAAATAACCCCAAAGTGGGCAAAACCTTGCATCTCAGCCCCTCCCCCTCTGCCTACCCTTGACAATGTGGGCGTGAACTGAGGGCCGTGAACTGAGGGCGGCTGGGTTCCTCCTCTGACCCTACAGTCCTTCCTCCTTGCCTGAGTCAGCACAAGGTCAACCGTAAGTTCTCCATCCTCTTCTCTATCCCTTCAAGCCTGCAAACCAACCTCAATACGTGCTTCCCCACACAACGTTCAAACAGCTCATTAGAAAAAGGTTGGGAAACTCTCAAGATACTTTGGAAACAGAATTCTAAAACAAGCCGATCAGTGAAAGAATCTGCTCACTTGTAGTTAACTATAGTCACTCTGGGCTTTTAATCTTACGGATGAAAAAGATGTAGTTGAAGACCTTAGCAAAGTTTCACTCTTTGGACCCAGTGTGTGTCCTTTTGGCCCTGAGATCCCTTTTATCACCGGACTGTCAGAACCAGCAGAGCTGGGGGTCGGAAGGTGAGGTTCTGGTCAGTACCAGCTAACTCAACAACTCCACTGGCACTCTCTAGAGCCTCATTGGTTTTGCAACATTCCTCCACGAAAGGCAAAAAGTTCACTACTTAGTGCCGAAGGGTTACCAAGAGGGCTTCAGCCTCAGGGGCACTGCTAAGCAACCACTGCCCAGAATCCCTTCGCTATTTAAGTGACACCGTAACTGGAGGTGAGGACATGAACCCCAGCGGCCTCAATCAGGGCACGATCTGACTGTTGGCCACTTGCCTATCCTCACGGGTAGATTCCAGCTTTGATGAACCAGATCCTTCTACGATAATCAGTACCAAATGCTGATTTGATGTGGGCCTTCCTGGCCCTCTGTTCGGGAATTTCCCAGTGGGCTGGGACAGGGATCATCATCCCCCAGAAGCACTCCTAGCAATGGAGATGGACAAGGTTAAGTCTCCAAAGTCTCTGAAAGGAAGGCACCTGGACAGGTGTTTTGTCCAAAAAATGACATAAAAATGATCAGTGCCAACACGGTGTGCATAGGCTGCACCTCAGGCCTTCCTCTCCTGACACGTTCTCCTGGCTGCTCAGCCATTTCCCAGGCCGAGAAATATGAGTCACCAAGATTGGCCAGGGAAAAAGCCAGAAGGAGAAGACACGGACCCATATTTGAACCAGCACAGTATGACGCAGGATTCGATAGCGGTTCGCTGCACGACCAGGTCCTGAGAGTATGAGTGAGTGTTATTCAGAGTCTCAAAAACTTGACTTCCAAATAGATGCCTAAGAGATAATTTTTTCCCCTGGGCGAATGGGGCATGCCTAACGGTGGATTTCAGTTTTCCTGGTCAGAAGAGGGCAAACCCTAGCACTCCATGAAAACTGGAGCGAACAGGGATAGTTTTGCATAATACTTTCCCTGTTCCACTAGGGACAAACAACGCACCTTCTCAAGACAGCTTGTCAGGTTATGGTGGTGTTTCTGGAGAAACAATAAACTTGTACAGAAAATCAGCACATGACCTTCACAGTTTAAGGCAGTGGAGCTATTGGCTTTGGGCTGTGCCTTTTATAGGAAGTAAATCTTTTTTTGGTATCGAGCCCAAGACATTCCTCCCCTCCATTCTCATACTCTCATAGGAAAAGACAGAAAAATCAGATGCACCAAGAACCCACCAGGAACACCAGAACGACACGAGGTAAGCATTCACCCAGATGACCAGGTTATACTTTTTTTTTTTTTTCTCCCCAGGTTATACTTTTTAACAGACCTGTCCATACACACTTTGGCATTGCTTTACTCCCTCCCAAAAGGTTTGGCTGACGCAGTATAAATAAAGTTGACATTTTTTTCCTCTTTTTTTTGAGAGAGAGAGAGAGAGAGAGAGATCACAAGTAGACAGAGCAGCAGGCAGAGAGAGGAGGAGAAGCAGGCTCCCCGCCAAGCAGAGAGACCGATGCGGAGCTTGATCTCAGGACCCGGGTATCATGACCCGAGCGGAAGGCAGAGGCTTAACCCACTGAGCCACTCAGGTGCCCCAAAGTTGACATGTTTTTATCTGTCCTCTGACCACTGGGGCCTTTATTCACAGCCTTAACATTCACTTGCGCTCTTCTGTCACCACCATCTAAAGCATCTGAGATACACACGTGCACACACACACACTGCTTATTACAATAGTACCTGCCACGAAAAAATGCCCAACACTTAACACACAGTACTAGCCCAGGAAGGCCTCCCCCTAGCTGTGCCACTTGGAGCAAGTCACTGACTGAACCTTTCTGGGCTTAGGCCTTCTCCTCGGAAGTCCCTTCTATCTCCGACCCGGGGTTGCCAATAATGCCCACTAACTTCTTTTCTTCCCTCTCACTTCTCCTTAAATACCTTTATTTTACTTTTGTGGGGAGTCCACTGGCTGTCTTCACTTTAGTTTTGGCTGCTGGACAACCCCACCATATGAACCATTTCCTCTTCTCCCCACCCCTGCTCAAAGCCCTAACTTCTCTTCTCCCAGACCCTGAGTCTCCCAGGGAGGCCTGGCCACACAGACCACAGGCTCCACCACCTTCCGGCAACTCTCCAAGTCTTCAAGTCAAGTCTGTCCTAAGTTTTCTCCTCTTCTGCAGTAAACAATACCCGGGGGGCTCCAACTCTTCTGGTATGTCGTTCCAGGCCCTATACCCCTGCTTTGGCTAGCAAGTCCCCTCCACACCCACTTTTCTGGTTCAAAAAGAGTGGCATGAACAGGGCACGGGGTGGGGTGGGGGGGCAGGAGGCCGGCCCGGGCTTCCAGATTTGGAAGATCGCACAGGTCAATGAGACCCTGCATCCCTCGGTCCAACTAGCCTGCACCCCGCCCCCGCCCCCGCCCCCACGCACTCCGTGAGCTCTGTGAGCCCCCTGCGCCTTGTCCCGCACCCACCTTTTGGGCCGTGGGGAAGCCCCCTCTCCAGCTGGCTCGCTGCATCGGAGAGCCGGGAGGGAGGTGGCAGGGGAAGCTCCTGCCACCGGACTACGTGAGCGTCGTGTGTCCGGGAGGCAGGGCTGGCGCTCCGTTCCGGGAGACACGGCCCGCAGGGGGAGGAGGACAAGGAGGAGGAGCCCAAGTTATCACACCGGGGCGGGGCGGCAGGGCGCAGGGCAACCCCGGTCGAAGCCGCGCAGCGCGAGCGTCCCCGCGCGGCAGCTTCGCCCCCGCCGGCCCGGGACAGCCCCTGCCTGGGGGGGACCGGAGACCGCGAACCGGGGCTGGCTCTGTACCCCATCGCCCTCGGCGACCTGAGAGACTCCCAAGTGTATTTCCTTGCGTATTACGGGGAACCCAAGACCCGGGGAAAGTCGAGGCTACTTTTCCTTGTACTACAGGCCCCACCGCCCAACTTCGGGTACACCCTCGGGGAGTGTCGGGTCCCAGGCGGGAAGCGCCTTGTCTCAGGTTCGAACTCGGTACAATAGTCTCAGCCCCAGCCACCACCAACTACCCCTGGCGGCCAGACCCGCACTAAAGCGGAACACGTGGGTCCAGCCAGGCTCCATCCCACCTCTGGTCCCTGGGTTGCTCTTCCCACCTGGAAGCAACCGCCTCCCACCTGGAAGCAACCGCTTCCCCAGCCCCGTCTAGTGTGGTCCACCCCCGGAGTGCAACCGCAAGTTGGGCGGTGAACGTGCAGGTGACAGGAGTCAAAGAAGGTCTCCGCTGCGCGCCCCTCGCCGCCGTTTCTCGGCCCTGCACTGGGACTCGAGGGCTTGGGGAGGGACGTACCTGGTGCAGCTCATAAGCCCTGATGCCCAGAGGCGCCAGCCCGCGGCAGCATCTGCGCGGGTGTAGCAAGGGCAGCGGCGGCGACGGCAGGAGCAGGGGCCGGGACTCAGGTCCGCGCCCTTGGCGGGCAGACGCATCCGTCCGTGCGCGAGAGCAGCCCGCTCGCCTCCTGCCCGCGGCGGGTCACCCAGACTCAGGCTCCCAGGCTCCGCGCTGCTCCCTTTAACTTTCCAGCACCTCTCCCCACTTGGGAAGCCATCCCGGAACCCCTTCCACGTGAACGCCCCCCCGCGGCCAATGGGCGCCCTCGGGACGCGAGCCGTCGACCAATGGCCACGGAGCCGCGGTCTTGGATAGCATCGCTTCGCCACGTGATTGGCTGCGCGCCGGGAGTGATAGGGCTGCGGTCCAGGGGCTGGGGAGGGGGCAGTGGGGTCACTGTTTCATCAGACGCGTGGGGCCGGGCGCCAAGGGACAGAGGCACTTTCCTACAAAAGAGCGTCCCGTTACAGCAAGAAGGCTGGCACGCGGGCAGCTTGCCAAATGCCCTCTTCCCAAGCAAAGTCCTGGCCGGGCAAAGCCTTCCCACAGGCGCAGTAGTAGTTGAGGTTGCATCCGCGCTGTCCAGCTGTCCACCTTCGTCGTGCGCTTTAGCCAGGGGCTTCACGCATGACCGTTAATTTCCCCATCATATGCCAATCCCAGAGAGGCCGCTGGAGAGTGCCAAGTGCTGTTTGCCTCCGTGTTAGGTGGAGGCTCTCTGGGATGCGTAGCTCCAGCTCTAATGATAGTGTCCAAAATAAGTAATTACTGATGCTGGCTTTGTGCTCGTCAGGGTTCCAGGTGTTACTGTGAAAGCCATACAGTAACCTGGTCTTATAAAGTTGTTACGGGGAAGGGGGTTGGAGCGCGGGTGATTCAGTCGGTTAGCCTCAGCCTTTGGCTCAGATCATGACCCCAGGGTCCTGGGATGGAGGTTCCCCCCCTCCATGGGGTCTCTGCTCAGCCAGGATCCTGTTTCTCCCTCTCCCTCAGCTCCCCCACCCCCGTGCTCTCTCACTCTCGCTCTCTCTCAAATAAATAAACAAGTAAGTAAAACCTTAAAAAAAAAAAGCTGTTACTGGGGCCATCACACAGAGTACCACATATTTAGGTATATAGGTATATTTCAGAGGAAATTACCTGACTTGAATCTGCCACAACTACCTGTACCTGCAGGGCCCCTACCATCTCTGTGATACACCTTGAAGTCTGTAGAGAATGATAAACCCAAAAGAAACCAGCTCCTCCCTCTCAGATGAGATCAGTTTAAATACATATTCACATAATCATATATTAATCCCCTTGGTGCTCATCTCTGAGCTAGTCACTTTAGGGATGAGCATCCTAGTTTTCTAGTTGTTTTTTTTTTTTTTTTAAGGTTTTATTTATTTGTTTGACACACAGAGAGAGATCACAAGTAGGGAGAAAGGCAGGCAGAGAGAGTGGGAAGCAGGCTCCCTGCTGAGCAGAGAGCTTAATATGGGGCTCCATCCCAGGACCTTGAGATCATGACCGGAGCCGAAGGCAGAGGCTTAACCCACTGAGCCATCCAGGTGCCCTTAGTTTTCTAGTTTTAATGAATTTTGAAAATCAACAGAGGGTTGCCAGCTTGTTAAAGTGCCAAGATGTTAAAATTACCATCTTCTGTTACCAACATTTTATGTTTTAAAAAATATTCTTTAGCAAATATAAAAACAAAGTAATGAACATAATTCAGAGTAAAGGCCATTCCTTCACATTGGATATATTTAGCTTTAGGACAATTCATTATGTTGAACATGGCATTTGGGATTTTCTGCTTTTCAGGGTTATGAAAGCAAATTCTAATTTTACTAGAAATGTAAAACTAAAACACTGGTAGGTTGCCTTGATCCAATACAGGCCTTCAGCTCATGACACCGTCTCCCTGTCTGAGGGGGCAATTATTAGTCCTCTTCCTTCTCTTTTGATGGGAATATCTGATAAGGACCACCTCTGAAATCAGCTATTGGTAGGCAGTTGGCAAATAAGGTTTCTATTCAGTATTCCATTTGCCAACTTTAAACCCCTTTTATTAGCTGATGAGTAGGTTGGTTTTTGAAGCCAAGTGTTGGCTACATTCTCAAGCATGGTGAGCATGCTAGAGGAGTGGGCAAAGACGGAGAGCCAACTGGTATTGCAAAATGAATTCAGGCAAAGGGTGATCTGAACCAAACCGGGAAGGAGTTGGGGCAAGTAAATACGACCTTATAACATTAAGGTTTGGAAGCATCTTCCTTACATAGATCTAGGAAACCATGGGTAATCATTTCCCCCTATGGTTCAGAGACTATTTCAGAGCAGAAGAGCGGTGCTAAACTTAGTTGTGGCTCACCACAGTCTTGGTAGGCAGGAGTGTGGCGTCTGTGAGTTTGAAGCAAGCACAGTCTCGTTAGCAATCAGAGTAGAGCTGGGATGTGAGGTCTGGAGGACTGTTCCAGCTGAACTTGGCACGTCCAACCAAGGCCCTGGAACCTGAGATCTGGACTGGCCCTTCGTACTATACAATCTTGCTTTACCCTCATTTTTAGCAGAAAAAAAAGTAAAAACTTAAAGTGTCAACCTTTCAGTCAACGCATACCAAGTCCCTTTTATAATATCTGGCATTGAATTTAAGTCTTAATTTCATCTAGTAAGCCAACCCTCCCCACACAAATAAACCAAAAACCCAGCAGAAGCTAAGCAAAGCTAATTATCGTTTTCCCATAAACTTTGTTTTTGTTGGCTATAAGTGGCTGTTTGGTGGCCATCTTCCTTGCACTTGGGCTCATCTGTGACTTCTTCAATCCTCTCCTATACATTTGTTTGTTCATTTAACAATACATTGTTGAGTAACTACTGTAAACTGGGTCCTGAAAGCGGAAAATCAGTGAAATATAATCTCACTCTCAAGAAGCTCTTAGGTTAATAAGTAACGACATAGGATAAATGTGTAGAAGGTAATCCTTTGTAATTTGGGAGCCAAGAGGGGGACTGCGCATGTGTGGTCGCGGAGGTGGGGTGAGAAATGAAGGTCAGCTGAGGCTTCTAGGGAAGTGAGCATTGAGTGGGATCCTGAAGGGGGAGTCAGAGTTTAGGGGTGATGGGAGAAAGCATGGCAGGAATTGGCAAAGGAGCAGAGTTCTATATGTCCCTCCAAAGAATTTCCACTCTACTGATTACGAATTAAGTCTTTTTTTCTGGCTTAAATATTAGACAATGTTTCTTTATGCGTGTGTTAACACCAGCTTTTTGTTCCTCCAGAAAGTTCGAAAAAATACTATTAATATCTTATCTCTTTTTCAACTGAACACATTTCAAAAACAGCCCAGACCTTGGTCTTAACTTCATTCTAGGTTTTGAAAGAGAAAATTTTTTTTTCTTCTTAGCGTTCTAACTTTCCTTCTCTTTGAAGAACAATTATTGCACAGTGCGTCTAAGTATAAATAACCAGCATCAAGAGTCAGAACTAAAGAAGAGAACATTCTTCTGCCTGATCAGAATAGAAAGTGGGGAAGACTGTTTCCAAACTGCCTAAGTGAATTTATATTTAGACAAGTGGAGTTGTTTGCACCTGTCAGAGCTTCAGACATGTTCTGGGCGCCTTATGTTACCTGGGGCCCTCTGCCCCTCTTTCAGATTTGGCTGAAAATGACTTGCCAGGTCACGTTTTATGGGATAGGCATATGCATACTAATGGAGGGTGTTCATGAGCCTCTTGTCTATGGAGAACATGTCTTTGGCTTGGGAGAAGACCTTGAGTAGTTTACACATCAAAGCTCCTGGAGCCCATTAGGGCATTTTCCCCACTGTTGAGGGCTTTTGAGTTCCCAAGTGAGGTTACTGTACCACTTCTCAATTTATTTTATTTTATTTTATTATTTTGTTTTTCTTCCAAATTTTTATTTAAATTCTAATGAGTTAACATATAGTGTAATATTGGTTTCAAGAGTAGAATTTAGGGGCGCCTGGGTGGCTCAGTGGGTTAAAGCCTCTGCCTTCGGCTCAGGTCATGATCCCAGGGTTCTGGGATCGAGCCCCACATCGGGCTCTCTGGGCAGCGGGGAGCCTGCTTCCCCTTCTCTCTCTCTCTGCCTGCCTCTCTGCCTACTTGTGATCTCTGTCTGTCAAATAAGTGAATAAAATCTTTAAAAAAAAAAAAGAGTAGAATTTAGTGATTCATCACCTACGCTTAACACCCAGTGCTCATCACTACAAGTGCCTTGCTTAATAATCCCCATCCCCCA